TTGCAATGTGCAATTTGATGCAGTTTAATCCATTTCGATACTGTCTGTCTGTCTATTTGTCTGTGTAGCGTGCTTTCATGCCGATGACAGCGACAACGACAACGATGATGATGCACCGGGAACGCATAAAGAACCATTTGCACTCACAGGCTGCATCATCTTTTGACGCCCTTTTGTTCGCAATATCAAACAATTCCCTTTTCTTTTAAACGATACAGAAATCGATGTTTCAGACAAAAAATACTTTAATTCACAATCACAACAGAGATTCAGTCTCAAATCGATTCGAACTGAATTGAACACATTTTCTTCTGAAAACATTTGCTCGAAGAAATGTTTTCGCTAGCAAACGCAGTTTTTTACATTAAAAAAAATCTATTGCAATTTCCTTACCTTCACAAAATTCAGGCTTATTATGGTTAAAGAGATGCCAGCAAATCGTCAAATTTGAACTCAAAACAAGGATTTTGCTCGAGCTTATGTTTTTATTAGTTGTTAAATGTTAACAGCAACCACTTCTGAACGATTCGTCTTTAGATTTAAATTTTGACGAATCGAAAGGTTCGAAGTTTGAAATAAAAACGAAACTAAAACGTTTAATTCTTGATCAAAACCACACAACAAATTAAAATGGAATCTAAAACAATTCACTCACAAAAAATGAAATTCAAAAGCAAAATAAAACTATAGTTTGAATGCTATTAAAATACTTAGGGAAAAAAAACCATCAAAATATGAACACTTGAATGTGAATCTACGACATTTTTCAATCAGAGACTGAGAATTCCACAAAACACTTGACTACCGTTAATTCGTAACTGAATCTTATGTTAAAATATGATTATTTTAAGCCGCACGCACTTACACTCGTTTCACAACCCAACCGATGTCATCAGACAGTGGAATTTTATGTGATAGTTTCAAAGACAATTTGTACTCACCATATGTGTACGTCTATCTATCAATTGATTTACATTAATTGAAGCACACAGATAATTCATTGCCAGTCATAATTTAACGAAAACAAAAATCTCCCAGAATTAATAGTTCGTTGCAATGAGTCATTCGATAAATAGTCGCATCATTAATTTCTATATTGAATATCGTGATGGTTTTTCATCATAAAGCAATGACATAGCCAATATTTACATATATCGCACAGACTTCTTCTTACATGCTTTTAAAAGACATGCAATGCGTACACCACGACACCCTTTGTTCATAAGTCTAATTTATTGAAAACGAGTGTGTACTTTGCGTATTTTTCAATACTGTTTTCTTTTCGATTACGTTTTTTATGTTTTACTGTATTGTTTTTTCATTGTAAATAATATTTTTTTTTCTGTCTTGTATCGCCTTGAATGAAATTACAAGGGATTCATTTTTTCTGTACTGGCTCGGCACAGCATCGACCAATAAATTACGTTTGCATTGAATCAAATCGAGTGACGGGCTTAGCCAACGATTCATCGACCGTTTTTTTTGAATGGGCTTGGTGTTTTCTAGAAATAGCTTCTAGTGTTTCATAATTGTAATTTCATACTCAATATATGCGTGTAATACGTACGCTTCGTATGCATTTATTGGCACGTCAATGACTTGGTTGGAAGAATTTTTTAAACGATATACATTTATTTTGAGGTAATTTTGTTGTTGTTGTTTCGCATGTTTCACCGTTCAATAGCTTCCCATGCGATGTTAGCCGCAGGGCGAACACTCAATCTGTACTGATATATTGACGATGCGTCCTGTTCACTCCGCTGTTTGAATAGTTTTTTCGTTCCTTATTTTTCATTTCATTTTGGACTGCGTACATATGCAGACCACAGCAAATGGTTTCTTTCATCTCGTCTGGAGAAGATAGGGAGAGAGAGTGAGAGTAGAAGAAGAAGAAAAAGGATATTTTGGGAGCAAGAATGATACGAAGGAAAAGGTGACGACAGTGTTGGAAAAAGGAGCGAAAATCGATCGGAAATGCGGAAATATATTCAGCTGAAACAGTTCCCATGGAAATTGAATGGAAATAAAGCGGGTATACGATTCAAGACAAAAACCAAATGGTCCATGTGTCGATTGGCTGGCTGTTGTCATTGAGACTACCGGTTTCGATGGAAAAAATGAAATTATAACTCGACTAAAGAGTCAGCCAACAAAAATCCAACAAACAAACACTAGAATCGTCGTTATCAAATCGTATTACAATGGTATTTCAACATGAAAAAGGATTGAATTAATGATGTCGAACAGAGACATCCATACAAACATACACACAAAACACACACACACACATACACTCACATACCGAAATTATAAACATCAGAGTCAAGAAATATTAACAAAATCATCGATTAAACAGCAACAGACACGCATTGTGGATGGAAAAAGGCAAATGTGTATGGATAACGAAATGGCTGAGTCGTTGTTGTTTGTTGTTGTGCGTATTTTTGTGTGTTACTAACGCGATGGCTTGGGCTCGTTTTTGTTGCCACCTTGAAAGTTTGATCAAATTCACAGGGCCCCAGCCGAATATAATATATTATTCTCACGAGAGGGATAGAGAGTGCAGGAGAGAAAGAGCGGAGCGGTGAGCGTGACAGAGCAAGAGCGATAGCGATAGAGAGATAGAGAGAGAGAGAGAGTGAGAGAGAGAGAGAGAGAGAGAGAGAGAGAGAGAGAGTGAGAAAAGCGGGAGAACGAGGCAGACAAAATATACTAAATCAATCCAGTGGTGTGCCGAAAGTCGCGTAGCGACAATGGCGAGACAGTGGAGAATATTTTTCGCAGACATGCATCAAATCCATGACTTTGAAAAGAAGAAAAATTGACTCGAGCCATTTCATGCAAAATCATTGGAATCGAGTGGAAACCGAGTGAGCCGCGCGCGACAGCGACAGAGCGACAAAAGGGAAGAGAGTAGACGACGAAGAACGAAAGAAAAAAACAACACAGACCGATGAACATAAATGGAGAAAAATAAATCATTGCAAATGTGCCGCATTAAGGGCTCTCTCACTCTCATTATGTAATTGATAATTGAATTTCGATAATTAACTGCGTTACCGGCAACATTCGATTTTCTTTATCATTAGACAACGATGTGGCCACTTTCATTATGGCTGTGTAAAAATTGAATTATCCATCGATTAAATTTATCGTAGCATGACTAGTAGCAGTAGCGGCAACAAAAATGTTTCAACAGAAGAGAAAAAGAACCGAAACCAACGAGGTGCAATGTGCGGCATATTTTTTGGCTGGTCTGCGCCGGGCGAGCGAGAGGAAGAGCGAGACAGAGAGAATGAGGGCAATATGACGCAACTTCCCGCTTGGTTCAAAGACTCTTTTTTTTTTCTCTGTCATCGGTGTGTTTTGGGTATTTCGCCGGCATCTAATTTATCATTCATGTTCACGTTGACAACGCAACCATGCTTTCTTCGCTCGAATTCGTCGTCGTCAGCGTCGTCGTCGGTTGTCGGGTCGATTTTTTTTTCTTATGGCCACTGGACGAAAATTAATGTTCTTATGCGCACCTTATCATGTGCTCATACGGTACATTATAAATTGTGTGTCTTTAGCTCACTCTGGTTTTTACATTCGGTCGCATCGCGCCAATTGTTACAATTTCTTCATCTCAATTTGGTGACTGTGTTTTTTTTCACTCGCACTCTCGGTTCTGTTCGTTTCCAAATCGAAGAATAGGCTGAATTTTGAGCCGTCTCTTTTCATTATGTCGTTCTGTGTTCTTCGCACCGTCTGGCGCGTAGTAATCAACATTTGTATGTTAGTTTTTTTCTTTCGTTCTTTCTCTCTTCCTTTTGCTGCTCACATAAAAATGCTCTATATGAAGAGATCCCATTCAATATAAATATATCGTACATTTTACATGCTCCTCGTTTGCTCGTGTGCAATTCATATCCCTACACACGGAATATTACGCGCGCCGCATACAACTTCTCTCTTGCTCTGATTCTCTCTCTCTCTCTCTCTCTCTCTCTCTCTCTCTCTCTCTCTGGCTATTTCAATCTGTCTCCATACAAAATGCCGTGTGTATTCCGAGTCAAAAATTCGAATTCGGCATTTTCAATGTGCTGTTTGTTGTTGTGTGCTGTGTGGTGCGTGTATTGGTGTGAGCGCACACATAAAATCACTCGAATTTTGAACCATTCGTTCACCACCAATTTGGTGTATGCTATGGCCGTACGGCTGATTGGGGCTCAGGAAGCATGCTTCACACCGATAAAACTAGAGCAATGCATGAAGTTCAAGAAACTTCTCTGTCCAATTGTGCCCCGTTGCTCCACCAAAAAATGCCGTGTGCCGTGTGCCTTGTTGTATTCATCGTTATATATATGCGCCTGTATGTATATACATGTTCATTGGCGTTGTGTTGTTTTGTTTTGTGTATCCTAATAAATTGTGTATACGTGCGAAAAATACGAGACGACAGTCCGCGCTCTGTTGCACCAATATACCGTTTATTGCCAGTGTATTGGCATAATCGGTGTGTGGTTGTGTGTATGCATTTGTCTGCGCGCGGTTTCTATGTAAATGTGTATGTGACACTCACTCAGTCTTTCTCTGCATTACAACAACAACAACAACAACAAAATTGAAACAAGAAAAGAGAACCAAACCGAATTGAATTTTCGAACAGCCGCCCGTGTATCAACCGTAGTAGTAGTAATATTGGCACATTTTGTATTGGTATGCTGTACTGTGTATATGAGAATTCAACATAATCGTACCTTGCGAACACACAATTCACAGATGTTGTGCACAGAGAGTCAGACAATGCCGTGCTACTGCTGTTGTTGCCTGCTGCCTGCTGCTATCCTGATGCGATATGATTGCTATCGTTGTATATGTGTCAAAACCTAATGCCTATACCCGATACTCAATGACTGCGTGTATTTTATGTATGTATGTATGTGTGTGTGGCGAATTGTGGTCGGTGTGCGTGTATGTGCGCGCTCCTCTCTGAGTTGTTTCTTCTTTTTTTTTTCGTTGGCTCTGTTTCGGTGGTGAGTGCCGAATGGTTCGGCTTTTTACATAAAACAGTTTGTATTTTTCAGTCTTAAGACAACCATCGCACTGAATGCATACCCACGACGAAAACGGTAGACGTTCATTTCAATGATATTCATTTATTTGTTAGTACCAATTCAATTTATCGTGTTTAATAGCAAATTGTTTTTTTTATTTTTCATTTTCATCATCACTTGATCGTTTGTTGTGACAAGAAATTGAACAAAAAATAAATTACATCTCAAAAAATAGAATTGGAGCGAAACTTCAAATTGCTTGATGGGTTTAATCAAATTTATTGTCAATTTTCTATTTTCGAAAAAAAATTCGCGGTTTATTTGTTAAATCATTGGTTGAATATATTTTTTTTCTTGTGAATTTTTTTTTTATTTCGTTGCGAAGCATTTTTTCTCGTCAATTGAAAAAGTTTTCAACAATTGACAATCCAGAAATCGGTTGAATAATTTAAATCAATTTCAAAGTTATCGACAAATTCAATTTTCCAAGAAAAATTACCGTTGCTCACATTGCTTGACACAAGTCAAATGTTGTTTATCTGACGAGAATACAATGGAAAAAGTGTACTGAATTCTTTAGTTCGAGTTCGAGAGAAAAAAAAATTGATATGGGTGTAAAAAAGGGTGAAATAATTGGTTTGATTTGAAGTGGCGGCAAATCTATTCAATAATAAATCCGTTCAATTTTCGATGTCGGCATTTGTATATTACTCGTTTTGCCTCAACTGACAGCGGCTTGTATACGCATTCTACACACCGCATCAATGTGCGGTGTGCGATTATGTGCGAAATACGATTGCATCACAATTTTCCCACTAAAAAAAACCCGAATTTCAAAGTTGAAAATTAAAACAGTGCATCGATTTAGTCATCATTATTCGATTGATTCGAGATTATCGCGGATTCGTTGATTGTGCAGAGAAAATCTCAATTTACACACAAATACACACACACACACACACACACAATGATTTTTGAACATAACCAAACAAAATATAAAAAAAAGGTCGGTGGTACTAAGGGTGGAAATGGCCAAAGCATGTGATTTTTCTGAATATTCAACGGAAACGCGGAATCGATTCTCGCCTCCGATTATATGAAGCATTAATGCGTTATCGAGAGAGAGAGAGAGAGAGAGAGAGAGACGAATTTTCCACCCATTTGTGTTGCTGTGCAGTGCTATGCTGTATGCGTTCAGCAACCTTTTTTTTTCTTTATTTCTCCCAAATGCTACACATAAAATCGGGTTGATTGGCCTTTCAAAGTGCGCCTCTTCACTACAGCTCTCTCTCTCTCTCTCTCTCTCTCTCTCTCGGCCTATCGAGTCGCGGTTTGCGATTGTGTGTGTACGCGCGCGAATATCATATGCACAGTGAATATAGAATGATATTTCATAGTAAATCGAAAATATACAAGGATAATATGGTTTGGTTGCCATCAGAAAGTCAGCAGCAGCAGCGGCAACATCGGTAGCAGTACTAGTTTATGCACTCATGTTGAATATGGATACCGGTTCCTTCTACGGTTCTTACTTTAACGAAAAGGGGAATATTGCTCTCTATACATATTTATATATATAGAAATTATTCCTTTTTGAAATATCGCGTGAGACCTCTGCAACGCTCGACAAGCTGCAATTGTTGTTCTCGATGCACATACCGATTATTTTTTTCGGTAACTATGGTTCAACAAGCCTCCACCTTGTTACTATAAACAAATTTCCGCTCCCCAGGCAAAAAAAAACAACAAAAATACACAACAACCCATCAAACAATTTGAAATTAATTGCGATCACTTACGATATCTGTATATTTATATATATATATATATATATATATAAAAACACATATTATTTTTTTTATTTCCGCTGGTTCCTCTTTGATTTATTATACTACTAAATACTTACCCCAAACACACAAAACAAACAAACAAAAAATACGAAATATTTTTTTTAAATTTCATTTCGGTTTATTTTTCTTTTCTCTCCCCATTTTCTCTCTTTCTCCACGGAAAATTCTAGTTAATACAATCGACCGTAGTGTTAAGTGGTAACGTTGTTTTCTACTGTGTGTATATCATTCATAATTGTTTTCATATATTGTTGTTGTTGTTTGTGTACGTGCGTGTTTTGTGATTTGAATAAAAGAAACAAAAAAAAAAGGAAAAATCGAGAGTTGAACGTAAAAAAGAAAAGAATTACGAAAAGGACACTTACCATAGCAAAGCACACATTCAAAAATCAAGAAAAGAAATAATAAACGAAAAAAAAATACTGAATTTGGTTGAACAACAAAATTAAGAACCGTTTTAAAAAAGCAGAAACAATATCCAACGACAACAATCAGCAACAGAGAAAAAATTATTCACCAATTGGACTGGAAATGAGACAGCCAGCAGATAATCCACGTTCCAAGCATATACACACATAAACGAGAAGCGCGCACGCAGCAGGCTCAACTAAGCCAGCAACTGTAAATCAAGCGAAATACAACAAGAAGCATACCCAGATACACCACGTTTAACCGACGAAAATAAAACCAATTACAAACATTAAAAAATCATTGAAAAACAAAAGGAGAATATCATAGCAACAACAACAACCGAACGCTCATACATTGTTGCCTCCGGTTGAGGTGAAAATGTAATATTGGAAGTGAATAAGCAGATAAAAAAAAGTACAGCAAAAAAAAAACTATAAAAACCCGATACACCAGAGATAAAAATACAAATAAAAAGTAAAAGTAAGCGGAGAGTTTCCAAAGCAGCAAGGCAATCGCTGCAACAGTGGCAGAACGTAACGACAAAAAAAACCCAAGGTGAGTACGATATCAAGCTGTCGCGATGCACAACATCAGCACTTGCATTGTACACAGCACATTGTTCTTTTTAAAACGGGGTAGTGGTATACATATATGTAGAGAGTAGGATAAATGGATTCCTTGAACTAAAACAGCAACCGAAAAAAAACAAAGAAATTCCACAACAATTTTTCGACAAATCGATCGTGAATTGAATGAGACATCCCTTAGACTCTGGTTGATTTGTTCGAGATTTGTTCCGAAACGAATTAATTCGTAATTCATAAATGACTCTACGCAAATGAATAAGCTTGATATGGTTTCATCACACCGAATCGGATATGAATGGACAGAAGAATAGAGCGCGCAGAGTCGAGAGCAAGAGAAAGAGAGAGAGAGAGAGAGAGAGAGAGAGAGAGAGAGAGAGAGAGAGAGGGAGAGAGAGCTTAGCTGTGAGCATACACAGCGAACGGAGCAAATTTGAAACCCCGTCAAAATATCCTATATCCATTGTTCCGTTGCGTTGCCACAGCAACTGCGCGCTCAAGTTCATTCACCTACTGAGGAAGTGATCAAACCATCGAAACCATCGAAATGTTATGAGAGAGCAAGAGAACAAACGACAATTTGACTATGATTTGACACATTTCACACAAGTACATCGTACTTTACCATCACAATTTGGTTGTCATTTTTGTTGGTTTTGATACGACGACGATGACAACAACAAAAACACACACTGAATTGGGATTATATTACGGGAAAGCTTATTGTCGGAAAAGCCAAGACACATTGGATTTGGTGTTCCAATGCGGTTAACAGCCACCGACTGTACACTCAGTCAGCCACACACAAAAGGATTACATTACATTTTGATGTGCTTAATATAATATCATACAAACTTACCAACATTTACACATACAATTCACAGCAAACAATTTTTTGATTGACATCTGTCGTTTCTTCTTTGTTTTATCTTTTTTCTCTTTAGAGCAATACGACTGAAGCAAATTTCCTTAATTTTTTTTTTGGGTGTTAGTTCTTAATTAAACAACAAAAAAGAGAGAATTTTTTACAATTATTATAAGTCCAACGTACAGTTTTATTAACAAACCAAAACAAAAAAAAGAGTCGAACAATACGAGAAGATATTTTTATTTCGTTTTTTGTACAAAAAAAAGAGGATAAAACAAAACACAATTAATCGGGAAAATAAAGTAACTAAATCATTCGCCATCTCATACTCAGAAATCATTAAGGTGCCAAACACGAAACCGAAGTCAAAATAACTCAAACAACACACACACACACACACATCACATTTAGTTGTATAAAAAGAACAAGCAACACCGAATCGATTTTTGCATTTTTGTTGTTCTGTTCATCCGAAACAATAGAAAAGGAAACGAAAACAGAAAAAAAAGTACCGAAAATACGAAAACAAAGTTATCAATTTGTGCCAGTTCAAAACGCGGAAAGCAAAAAAGTTTAGCTAGATAGACCGTATCGGAAAAGTTATAGACCCCGCAGTAAAACCTGAAAAGTCGAAAATAAAAAAAAAAACGTTGTCGCAAAGAGTGAAACAGAGACACCAAGATAAGACAAACGCGAAATTAAAAAAAAAACACAACATCAGCCAACGAACAATTTTCAATATTTGCAAGAGCGAGAGAGTAGCGAGCGTAAAAATAGTGTGTAAGTGTAATACGGAACTGCAAAGCCACAGATTGTGTAACACAGAAAAACCGAATCGAAAGAAATAAACAAAAAATGTCGGTGTTATATGCGGAAATGGATCCGTCCAATGGGCAAAATCCATTGAGCGTTTGCGGTCAAAAGAATCAGAAGCCACCTCAGGTGGCGCAACCACAACAAATGCCATCACCAACATCGTCATCATCAGCGGCCGCATTGCAACTCGCCTTCGAATTGTCCATGCTGTCCTTATCATCGTGCAATAATAACGTTGGCAACGACATGATTGTGAATATGGGAAATGATCATCAACAGCAACAACAACAGGCCAATCTCAAATCGTGCAGGTAAACATTTTTGGTCTTTGATTGATTTTAAGTTCGAAAAATTTTTATTTAGGGAGAAAATACGCCACATGTGCCAAAACCAAATTAACCAGATTAACTCCAAATAATCGATCGAATTTTGCACTTTCTTTCTTCTTCTTCTCTCGTTTGTAGCAACAAATCACCCTCATCACTCAGCCCCAATGATGTCGGCGGTATGAATGGAATAAATACTGTTTTATCAAATAATATTGGATTAAGTGCGTTCACAACGATGTTACCAAATCTAGATGATCGATCGAAGAAATCACAAAATATGACCGAATGTGTGCCGGTGCCAAGTTCAGAGCATGTCGCTGAAATTGTCGGACGACAAGGTAATTTTAATTGCTATTGCATTTGTTTTTCATTCTGTTCGACTTGATATCGTTCAATTGATGTCTTCGTGACAGTTTTTTTTTTCTTCTTTCGATGCTTCAGAAACGGTTTGCGTTTCCTTGCTTAAAACTCTCATTAAAACTCATTGGCATGCGTGCGACCGTCAATGATCATAAACCAATTCTGAATTCAGTATATGAAAAGAGAAGAGAAAAAAAAACGCAGAGTTTACAACAAACCGATGACAACGACCATTTCGATCAACGTTTGATCGATACCAAGCTATTTTCGTTGCGCAGAGAGAGAGAGAGAGAGATAGAGAGAGAGATAGAGCGAGAGAGAGAGAGAGAGAGAGAGAGAGAGAGAGAGAGAGAGAGAGCAATTTCAAGAAGTCGTTGCATTCAATCGTTAAATATCCATTCCAATTATTTGTTCAGTCGCATCTATTGTATGGCTGTTTTTTTGTGTTTTTGTTGTTTTTTTTCTCTTTCTTTCATTTTCAAGTGTATATGCAAAAAACTATCAGAGGCATGCGGCTAACTCGTTTCTCCTTTGTGTTGCGTTGCGAAAATTGCCAAGAATTAAATGAAAAACGAAAATTCCCCGAGACTTAAGAATATCGGGGAGAGAAAAAAAGAAGAAATATGAAGATACGAAGGGAAAAGATGAATGTATGAACGAAAACAAAAACAAAATCTATATTATATATATATATATAAACTAAAACACAGTGCACAACAATATATTATGGCCCTTCACTTACACATTATAATTATATATTGACCGTTGTTGTGTTGTGTGTGCTGTATTCGTTTTGTTTTTTTGCTGCTCTTCGCTTCTCGTTTGGCGTGCGCGAGCGCGCTACACATTCTGGAGAGCCTTTGTTTAAAAAACTACCACAACAAAAGCAATGAAAAACTGGCGCAATTTGATAAAATTAATTCTTGGGCTCGGTTTGCTGCAGCCGCTCGTGCTTCGTTCCTTTCGTCTTTTTGCGCGCGTTATTTCGTTTTGCTCCCTCGCTCCATTGTTGTTGTTGCTACTTTTCAATATTGTCTGCATTATTATTCGATTTATCTGTCGTTTTGTGAGACGACGAGCTTAAAGGAATCCGGTATGAGAACGCGATTGGCTCCAAACGTTGTGGTTTAAATTCTTCACAAAACTCTGCCGCCAATGCCTGCTGAGCGCGGGACAGAGAGAGAGAGAGAGAGAGAGATCGTGCAACAGACACAAGTGGAAGAGAGTCGTTGTATGAGAGAGCAAGAATGAAAGAGAACGCGAACGCGCGAGTATTAGCAGCCACATACAAAATGGCATGGTGAATGATCGTTGCAAGGTCATTGTCTCAAGCATGTGTGCGTGCATTATTTGTGTACGTTAAAAAGATGCAATCAGCAAAGAAATCTTTCGTTCAACGAACCTTGTGCCGAGCCGAAAGGAACGCACGGGCTAGTGTTTGTTTTGTGTATGTGTTGGCGCGATAGCCTGGGGCGACCGATAAACTGAATGGCAGAGTTGCTGCTTGCGCCAATTTAAGTTTGTTTGATCTGGTTTACCTGGACAAAGACCGAATTTGTTCAGTTCGGTGCAGCAAAGATTTTCAGTGCATTTGGTCGTCTGACATTGCGTGCATTATACACCAGAATATGCACCACACCACGCAGAACAAATATCCCAAATCACATGTGAATCAAAAGCAACTGAGAATAAAATAAAATGCAACACAACGAGAGCGAGCGGCAACCAAACATATCAACAACACATTGCTCAAGAAGCCAACGAATAAATAAAATCGTATGCTGAATGCCCATTGTGCGAATATGAAATGGAAAAAAGGGACTAAATATAGCGAAAAAGATGTCGAAGGCAACAGCAGCAGCAGCAGCAATGACACAAGGCTGCATTCATTTGGCAAAATGTGTGTGCCCGCCTTTTTTTTTTCTTCTCTCTTATTTCTTTAAGTTGAGCTGATTGCAATGTGCTAGATTGAAATCCTCTGATTCTCTCACTTGTATAATTTTACATATTGCTCAATTGAGCTGTGGCTCAAAGACAAGCGCTGTGGTGGTACGCGGGATATTTTTGTTCCTACTATTGTGGCTGGTATATGTGTCGCCTTCTCTACCTTCGCTAGTTTCACGTGACTCTCTCGCGATCACTCTCATTCTTCAATACGTAGTGTGGTTTTTTTCTTCTTCTTCTTCTCTTCTACAATCCACCAGCAACTCAACGACAGAATGGAAAAAAAAATTCACTCAAATCAGCACTACACACACTTTATTTTGCTCAACAATTGCATTTTGCCCATATTCGTTGATTATTTTCATTTTATGTGTGATTTTATTTTTCTTCATTCGCGCTCCACAACGATGTTCAGCCTGTGTGTGTGTGTGTGTTTTTTTTCCTTTTTCTTTCTGTTCGTCATTCAATGTTCGTTATGTGTGAGAATTTTTCTCGTGAGCATAGGTTTTACGAGTCGTCGCGAAACAGGCTACTAACAGCCTTACTAGTGTGCCGCCGTCGCTGTTTCGCTTTCATCAAGCCATTCTTGACATTCGCTTTTATATCGTTCGGCGTATACACATTGGATATTCGGATTCTGGAATGAATGTGTATTTTTGTGCGCTGTGTGCTGTCGGTGCTGGTGCTGATGTTGCTGCTTTTTTTTCCTTATTATTCACTTTTTTGTTTTGGCCTAATGTTTCGGGTAGCGTTGCTATTCCATCGCTCTCACTCTCTGCTCTTTGTTCCACAAGACATTTATTTATTTTTTGCTCTTCTCAAAAGCGTAAAATATTCGCCTAGCTCAAAAACCCGAACACAAAAGGAGTCGGGGAGTCAATGCTTGTTTAGCATTTAGAAGACGCAAAAGATGGCAAAGAAGAAGAAGTAGAAAAAAAAACTTACAGACACACACAACACCGAATACACTGGGCAGAAAAAGAAGAGTATAATGCGCAGAAAAGCACATGATAAAGAACACGTTGATGACGATAATGATCGCCATATGATAAAGAGCATGCATGCATTTTACATGCACCCAGCACACAAATGCTTGACTGTGCCAATTGCCTGAATGAGTTTTAGTGTATTTAAGTTTGTGCCAAAGTCGACGACGACGAAGACTACGGCAACGGCGATGAAGAGGCGAGAGGAAAAAAAAATGAAATTTTATGAGAAACAAAACATTGCAACGAATAAAAAGAAGCAATAATCTAAGAACGCGAGAGACACACAAAAAAGGAAAAAAAAAAAGACAAGGCAAAAGGCATGCAGCACGCACAGAGATAGAGACAATACGTACGCGCGTGCGCGAGAGAGAGCGAGCGAGCAAACACACAGATACACATGCCCAGCAAGCACAGGATCATTATCATCGATGCGTCGAAATAGTGCCAGGCCATGTGAATATCTACATATATTCTGTGTGTTGTGAGAGAGAGAGCCTATGCAAGAGACCCATAATGTGATTGAACTGATGCGCACGATGCATCGTCTGTTTCCTCCTCGTGCATTTACTCTTCGTTAATTTTTTCATTCGAACTGAACCGAAGCGAACAATAACAACAACAACAACGAAATTATTCACCAAGTAAATGCACAGGTCCGATGCATTTTTCATGCGCACTGTCAATGTTTTACACACAATCTTTTTTTTCTGGTTTTCTGATAGACTATAAATTTTGCGCGATTCCAAGCATTTTTTCGTTTCGAACTAGCTACTGAGTTGGAACAAAGAAAAAATGGCGAATTTAATTCACCATCGAAATTTTATCAATTGATGACTGAGTCTCATTTTTTCTCCTCCGACCGCTCGAACAGGAATTCAAAATGGAGAACAAGTTGAAGCAAGAAAAAAATTGATCTAAAATCCGGCATTTATTTGGCCAAATGTACAGTCGCGCTGCAATCGAATTTAATAGTCACAGATTCATAGATGCGGTTTGATTTTGTTTTGGACAGTGAAACACACACACACACAACCAAAAACTAAGAAAACCAAAAAAAAGGAGTCGATGAGCGCGAGCGCATTTGCATTGCCTGACATTGGACTGACGCCAAATTCATTGCACTGGCATATTTTCACAATTTTCTTCTTCACGCATCGACTATTTCTCCGTCATTTTGTCGCTTTGACTTAGATTAACCAAACAACAACAAAATATGAAACGTACAAAACACGAACTCGAACACTTTTTTTCTACATCGTTTCCGCCACGAAGCATAATTTCTTTTTTTTTTTGATTTCAAATCATTTGCCTTCAAGACAAGAAATTCGATTATGAATCAACATCAACATCCATGCAATAAATAAAACTCCCGCAGAAGGAACGAGCGACAGAAGAAATGAGCGAAAAAAAGAACACACACACACATACACAGCAAATCAAATCCCAAATCAAGCATTCCGCTTCTTTTTTTCTTAATGTTCCGGACACAGAGAAAAAGTGCGCAGTAAAAATGATCGCAGCGCGGCGACGATGACAAAGACACTTCATCCCGTCTCTCGTAACTATCATTTGCTTGATGCTGCTGCTGCGGCTGGTGGTGGTATTGTTGCTCTTTTTGCTCTTGCAGTTTTGTGTAGTGCATGTATTTTTAGGAATTCGTTGATTTTTGCTTGAGCGCGAGACTTCTTCTCTATCTCACGCGCTCATATCTTGCGGTTCGCAATACTGCCAAAGGCATAACATAACAACAACAACAACATTCCCTCTCGTCCAATGTAACAACGACGCAACGACCAAAAATTACGCAAAAATAAATCAATGAACTTATGAAAATATTTGGTTCTTTTTCTCTCACTCATTCACTCTCGTCACGAATAAAATTTTGCCCACAAAAATATCACCCAAAACGATTCAATAGAAATGAAAATTGCAAACGTGATGCGTACACGCATATTCGATGGTCGCCTGATGCTGCTGCTGTTGCTGCTGTTGCTGCTGTTTCGAAAATCCGCAAGAAAAAACGCAATCCTATTTTATTTGTATAA